GGAGCAAGGAGAAGATAAAAAAGAGAGTATTTCTTTCCCAGCATAAAAAAATAAGCATTCTCTAAAGATTATATAAACCCAACGTCCAAAGCATAACATTGTGCCCTGGATTGCTTTTGCACAGGATCTTTAGCATAAGAGTATTTTGTGTGTTTTGGAGAGTTAATAAACTGGTTTTATTAACTAGTTTTAACCCTTACAGTTCTATCGCTCATCTTACACAACTGAGGGTAAAATCACTTTCTACTTCCAGCACTATTAGTAAGTGTAACCATTTCACCCATCACCTGTACAGGAACAGCTTACTCAGACACGGATAAACTCGGTGTTCCCCACTGCACATCTGACAGGAGTAAAACCCTTCCCAGAACTTTTAATGTTTTTCTCTAAACAATATTTAAATTAAATTAAAGAAAAAAACCCATCTCTAAGCATGATTTCTATTTTTCATTAGTGGGAGAGGATTGGGTGGGGAACTATTTCCCTTTTTTCTTTCACATCATGCAAAAAAATCAGCTTTTATGATTGCACTCAACACAAAGAACCAGGACTCCAGCCAGGTGGGTTAATGTGAAAAGGCAGTCGTGGCAGAGCTCCAAACATCTTCTCCTAGAGAGACTGATGATTGATTGTTGCAGTGGTAGGAACCTGCCCTGGCCTTTCTTTGAGCTCTGCCCATGTTTTGTTTAGGTTACAGAAAAAAAAGAATGGGAGGTCAAATAAAATTGGTATTTTCCATTATGAGAACATGACATCAAACATAGCTCTAGTGCTGTGTGACTGGGACTGTGGGATTTGTTGGCTGTGAATTAACCCCCCCAGGCCTCTGGGTGCCCATTCTGCCTTTCAGCTGAAGACCTCCTAAGCCTGAGAGGTTTTCCTTTATTGGGGGAATTATTTGTGGGTGAAGAAGCAGTTTGGATGTTATGTCCTCAGCCATTCCTTAGGTTGAATTTCTATTTTAAAGCCCTGGCTTATAAACCAGAGGAAGCATTTATGCAGAACAGCAGTGCCTTTAGTAGGCCAACAAAGCAAAAATAAAACACTGATTTTAGAAAAAACAGCAGATTTTTTTTCTATTGCACAAAGCAACACTTCCCCTTCTCTGCTGTTTCTCCACAGTCCCACAAGCACCACTATTCCAATGCTATCTGTTATGACAGGAAAATAACATTCTGCACGTTTAAAGCAAATATTTAGAATTCAAGACACTGAACTATTTTTCCCTTCAGCTTTCAAAATTGCCTCAGTTAATTGGTACTACATATTCCTCACTCAAAAGCAACAGAGTTGTGCTTTCATGGCAATTTAATCTGTGCAAACAAAATCATTATACAAACAAAATTAAATTACTTCAACCTTGCCTGCCATTTAGGGCAGGAGGCGAGGAGCTTACAGAGGTAGGGGGAATATCCTGAAGTTTCCAGGACATCCCCATAGCCTGGACAGTTCTCTGATTGCACATTTCTTACACCAACACTCAACAACAGCCACAATCATTTTCTTGCACAGATCATGGGCTATTTTTCCTTACAAAAAACCCAACTTAAGTCTACAGTTACTTACATTTCAGAGTAGAAATTCTGTTCCCATGGCTGAGGTCCTCAGATCTGTCAAACGGGACATGAATGACAATGATACAAGATAGGTTCATTTATTCAATAGTGGCTATTAAAAAGAAAAGTTGACCCTCTTTAACCTTCCACTGCGACAGCAAGTGTGGAAAACTCCTTTGCAGAGAAATGGTTGCAGATAAAACATGGCAATGACCAGAGAATTTGGTGAATATACACAGGTGTCGCTGTGGGCTCCAGATCTTACAGAAGGTTTCTCCTCCGGGGAAGTGCTAACACCCCTCAGGGGGCTGACAGGCTTGGTAGAGTGAAGGTTATACTCTGAATTCCCTGTGGGGATGAACTGAATTTGGGGCTGCTTGGAAAGTAATGGGCAAATGTTATCCAGGAGTTACAGAGGTAGGATTGGATTGATACTGTGCAGCTCCAGCCCTGAAAAAGCCTTCCTCAGGGAACAGATCCGAGAGGAGCCTGCAAGGATTCTAAACAAAATTTGCAACTTAATAGCGGTTCTTCCAGCTCAAATGGGATTAAGGTAAATGGATATACTGAAATTAAAATCAGCAGAAGAGTGGACAAAATTAGACCTGAATTTAAACCTGAGTAGCAAAACCTGCTTCCCACAGGAGCACACTATAAACACTGAAACAGGGGGACTTCGAAACAGAGCAAGTATAAAACAAGTGTACAAATCTGTAATAAGTCCAACTTTATTGTAAACCATTATACAATGTAATTACATCAGATACCTTTAAAAGTTTAAGGTAACACCACTGATTAAACAATATGGTCCAAACAGAGGGCAGCAGAATACAGCTGTTGGTTTTGCTCACATTGGCTATACTCTGAATTTACCTACAAACAAACCCCACATTCAGTTTGAGACAGATACCCACGCAAGACAAAAACACCTACAAAAGAGTCCCTTTTTTAAAGATACTGCAGTTTTACTTTGTAAAACCATAGTAGTCATTTTCAGTAATTGAACTGGAAACTTCCCCTAAAACAAGTTTGCACGCCTATGCTGTAGATGTAACTCTGACTTGATGTGGCCGAATTTATTCGCTTTCACTACTGGTTTCTCCTGTAAAAAGCACAGCAAAGTTGCAAACACGGGTTAGTCAAGCACAGTGGCAGAGATTCCTTGTGATGCTCAGCTCTGAGCAGAGCGGGAGAGCCCAGGCCTCCCTCCCCAGGCACGGCAGGAACGGGAGCAGACACCTGCCAGAGGGGATCACTTTGCATTGCTCTAATTTGCAACTCAGTTTCTGAGTTTTCCCTGAAGAAAAGCTATAGTACATTTTAGTTAGCAACATTAACAGACAGCATTCACCTACTTAAAGTAAGACAAGGGGACCTGAACGTATTAAAGCCAGAACTTGAAAACCACATATTAGACAACACCAGTGTTTTAAGTTTATGCAGATGTCACAGGTCAGATCCCAGAAGCAGTTAATACATTTAGGTTGACCATTTGTAGTACATTCTCTCTCCACCAATACCTCTGTGTCTCTTCTCTCAGTTATAATCCCTTTCTCTTACTTTGGCATAGACTACATAGCTTATTTTCACTAAACAGAATCACATTTCCTAAGCACAGCCTGAATTAAACCTTTGCTATGAGTTGTCCCGAAGTACATTTACAAGCAGAAATTTGAGTGCCAATTTTAGGATAATGCAAATGTTGAGAAGTTCCAATACCATTACTGGATCAACTCCTTATGAAAAGTCTATTTCAGACTGTCCTGCCAGTCCATTTCAATGAGCAGTAAGACACAGTGAAGCACCAGGCACATATTCCCTTCTCACACTTACAAGTCTGTCAGACAAGAGCACCTGTTCTACTTGTACCTACAGCAAGAATTCCAATATTTACCTTACAAAGAGGAAAACCACCAAGTTACATCTTCCATCCCTTTCCCAAGACAGCAAAGAATAAATAGGAAAAGACCTCAGATTTTGTTATTTAGCTGAAGTTGTGAATAAAATTATTGTCTTAGGAGAAAGAGTCAGAACTGGGTTTTCCCCTTTGAAGGCTGCTCCTCCTGTTACTAATGTGGTGTTCAAAATATTTCTGTGTCTTTGGCTCATAGTGCTTTACTATATCATCTTGCTAGGCGTACCAAAATCTCACATCAAGTGACATTTAAGCACTTAAGACATGAAAAATTAGGCATTCAGGACCTTTGCTACAACCGTCTTCAACAAACTGCTCCATAGCACTTTACACTTGGTCAGTAAGCTTGAGGTCTGCTGAAAACAAATATTTTCACATGATTAAGGCCATAATCTTATACTGACAATTCACAGACTAAACATGAGACTAGAATCATTTTGATAACTGAAGTAACTGGAGGGAAAAGGAAGATAAACTGCAAGCTCGGACAGTTCAATCCGTGTGCGCTGCTCAGGTATCTCAGCGGGCGAGGACAGCGAGGGCTGTGCAGTGGGACACAGCACATGTCCAACAGCTTTATGTCACTGTCTGGAACAGAACAAATCCTATGCTAAAAGAAATAAATGCTGACATTTGCGACAAGAGCCAGTCCTAGCTCTTAATCCCTTTGGAAAAGTGAGCTGTACAAGACTATTCTGTTGCTGAAAATGAATTCCTGGAAGTACTGTGCTTCTGGAAACCCGCGCCCACCCAGTGGTAAATCATCAAGAGAAGATGCAAGTCACACAATCAATAAAAAAAACCCAAAAAACCTAAAACAGAGGCAACACTGATTAGGGACATTTCCCTATCCCTACCCCCCCCCCCCGACGTCAAAAAGAACTCAATTAAGCTCCCGATGTCATTAGTTTGTAGATTTAGTCTAAAAGAAACACTAGTGCTGTAAAATACTTATTGCAAGTTCCTGACATTTAATTAAGCTCCCAATGTCATTAGTTTGTAGATTTAGTCTAAAAGAAACACTAGTGCTGTAACTTATTGCAGTTCTGACATTTCAGTGCACAGTAATGAAGGTCAGTGGCTCAACTAAAACCTCAGGTTTGGTAAAATGGCCCTTGGAGCCGGCTGGACACGCTGAGGTCTGGGAGCATCGTGTTCACCTCGGCAGCCACGCAGGGACAAGGAATGCTGGAGTAGTGACAGTAAGCACGGGAGCACACAGCTCAGCATTTACTAAGGCCCATTTAAGTGGTCTGGATAATAAATCACATTAAGACCTAGTAAATCTATAAAAAAATGTAAAAAATCTTAAAAAGTTCTGAGCAGTTTTCCAATGAAACTGTTTTGGTTTAAGGCTTGGGACTTTCCTGGTGTCCAGATCCTACAACAGATTTGCACTTCAGGTCTGTTGTCACCTCTTTGACACGTCGCCTTGTCCTGCACAAGGTTTAGCTAAGCAAGGAAAGCTGTCAGAAACAATCATTGAGGAAACATGCAAAGCAAAAGGATGTCACTGAAAACATGTCTGCTAGGTTTCAGATGAGCATGTGTTGTCAATTACCAGAAGAGAGACACTGAAAATCACAGAAATTCTGTAGTAACAACTGCACTGTACCCCTTGGGTTGTTTGTTTTTTTAACTGCTAAAGAATAATGAGACTTTATAGAAATGAAACAGGAGAAATTTTTTTGTTGTTGCTGTTAAGCACATTAAATAGAGGATTGTTTTTCCAACAAAAAAACAAGGGACAGAATTATTTTTTGCAATATTGTAGCACAACTGCTTCAGTCAGATCACGGCCCTGTACCGCAGGCCCTACAAAAGGAAAAGTGTCAGAAGTGTTCCATCTCTTTTGGGTCATTTGAGAGGTATGCACAAGAGACTTGCAGGAACAGAAATAATGAGTCATCCACAGATACTCATTTCACAAATAACCATCACAACGGATTTTTGTCATACACTAAAGTGCACATTTGTCAAATATGCAAACACCACCTCATATTAAAAAAGGTATTTTCGAATTATGTGGTCGAAAGCACACATAGGACTGCATTTTTAGTGATATTTGGTGACTTCAGCAGTGACAGAGAGCTCTTCCCTTTGCAATCCCTTTGTCTTAAACCAGGACATAAGGATAAATAAGATTTTCACTACAAATATTTTGACCTGTTCTGCACAAAAAAAGGGAACTGCACCCTTTTCTCTGACAAAGAGAATCTTTAAATACAACTGTATGAAAATATAACTTAAATATAAAATAGTCAAATAGATTTGAGGAGACTTGGAAAAAAATCTTTGTTCCACCTATTAGTTCCATAGGTACCCGGTAGCAAGTAAACATTTGTACTTAAAAAAATAATGTTAAGTTACAGCTTGTAACCATAAACTATTCTGCTCTAGGAATTATGCTGCAAAAGCCAGTTTTAGTAATAAAACACACTCCTTTAACTTAGTCAACTCTGATGCCTTTTTGAGAACTTCTTACACTGTCTCATCAGTAACCAAAAGTGAAAGATTCTGATCTGTTCTCTCTGATCTTCTCTGACACAAAACTCCTTAGTGACTCATCCTTAACACCTCTGCAGTTTTTCACACGTGATGAGAAGACATTCTTGCATAATTGGTCAGTGTGTCTGTAGTGCAACTGAGCTGGAAGTCTTCCAACCGCTCGCCTTCTGTTGGGAGACCTTGCTTTTTGAGTCAGTTTGTATGCAAACGGAGATGCAATTGCAACATTAAACCCCACTGACAAAGTTCTTTTTGCCACGAAACCTGCAATCACACAGGCCAGGGGCTGTGTCATACGGGCAGACCAAAGCGGTGCTTCTTCTTCTTAATGGGCTTCAAGCTGGTCAGTCTGCGCAGATCCTCCTCGGCGTCCGACTCCTCCATCTCGTCGTCGGCTGAAATCAGGATCTAAAAACAAACGGCACGTGGACCGGTCACTCCTTCTTCTTTCTATTTTTAAACTTTCACCTTTTTTTTTTTTTTTATGTTTGCAAAGCACCTTGTTATCAGGGAAGAGCTGACAGACCACAATTAGGATTTACTGCCTGCGCTATCAAACACCATCACACATCCTATCTGGGAGCTCCATAAATTTCAAAGAAGGATGCATGCATATTAATCTCACTACAGCCACTGAGCCTAAACCTGTACCTCCAGAACAGCAGGGGCAGTTTGAGAGAGAATATTTAAGCTCTCTCTCCAAACTGGTACCATGGAGTCATTTTATTAAGGAAAACCTCCTATAAATAGCACTGTTTATCACACAGAAAAGTTACATTAACTTACTAAAGCTAAAACAACTTACCCTCAAAGAAATGACCCATCCCTTCAGCTAAACTAAAAGCTGCTCACTTAGTGTGATTTAGAATAAAATTATGCTAAGGCAAGTATGTAAATGGTTCTCCAAAATCAGGTCAGTTGCCTCCACCAGCTCCCTCTCACTTTAAGCTATTAACCTCTCTTTGAATTAGAATTGTCTGTTTGTTTTGTATCCCCTGTGGGGTTTTTTTCAGAAGTATCTGCAGCACAGCTCACCTGGGATATTTACATATTTTATTGTGTCTTCCTGCCCATCTGGAAGGAAATCAACTGCCAGAGTGGTGCAACAAAGACATTTTTCTTAACTGGTTCTCCACAGCAAATGCTGGGAACTGCTGCTAGGGGTACATGCACAGAAAATCAAACCTCAGTTGACAGTGTTCCAATGAAATCAATGGCAGGAGGGGTGAACTGGATTGATATTGCATTAACTGCAGTAGTGAACTCTACATACTTCTGACTCTGACTCTTCATGTGACGCTGCTCTCCTGTACCGGACTTTACTTCCATTTCTTGAATCTTGTCCTGCTTCCTTTTCTTCAAGTTTAGCTTTTGTCTTCCCTTTCTTCATAAGAAAATTATCTACTACCCAGAACATCAATGCCTGTCAAAGAGAAGGGGAAAGTGACAGTTCAGCTTTCTTCAGAGTAGAATAAGTTCATTTGCTCAGTATTTGGAGTTGACAATAATTCTGAATTGGCCAAACCCTCTTGTGCAGGCACAGTGCCACATGGCTTTTTACACAGCACAAGAATGCCCTAGAACCCAGCTACTTGATTCCTTTGTGGAAGAGAAGAAAATAAGAAAAGTAGTGATTATATATTAACTCTTCATGCAGCAAAGCTTTACCAGCAGTTATAGAATGCAAGGACACCCACTATCCCTGGCTCTAATCCCTAAATCCCGGATTCCTGAAAGAGTACACTTTGGGAAGCATGACTGCACCCTTGCCCTTTTCCTCTGCTCCACCATAGGCCAGCCTGTGGTCAGACACTGGATACTTCACATTACATCTGTCCTTAGACCAACTGCTTCCTGAAGCAAATTTCACTGCAATTTTATAATCTCTGTGTCAGTATTTCAGTATTACATCCAACCTACTGAAGTCATCAGGCCAAAGAGGTCTATGAGGCATTTCTGTCCCTCTCCTGAGCCCGATCCCTTAGCTCAGTGTGGATTTCAGCTTTGTAAAATCTACATATCCAGACATTTTATCCATTCCTTAACACCCCTTCTCTTAAGCACCAGGATAACACTGTGTTTTAAGGACTAATGTTAATTAATGAAGATGTGGTAGAAAGATCTCCAAGCAGACATTTCAGAGAAGCGTTCAAGTTGTACTAACATTAACAAAGAAGGGAACTATCAGCATGACGATGGCCAGCTCCAGCTGGGGGTTCTCTATGGGATTCAATAAAGCCACCTGTGAAAAGAAGAGCACAAGTTCAGATCAGGGCAGCACGTGCACAAACTGGGTTAGGCAGTGCAATGTTCATGTGCCAGCTAATGCGACAGAAATAACGCAGAGGAACCAAAAAAGGACAGCTTTGAGAAAAGCAAAGTACTTAGGACAGCTTATAAATTACCACAGATAAGTAAGTGGGGCTGACAAGAAACTTATCTCTGTCATTTTTGCTTACAGAAATCTGAGGAGCTGTGTGAGAATCGTCTTGGACATTTTAGAGCTGTGTGCTCCCAAGGAACATGTCTTAAGTTCCATCTTAAGGAAATTTAAATAGAGCAAAGTTTTACAAAATGCACAGTAGGAAGGAAGACAGTTCCCAAAGTAGTCCAGAGCAAACAACAAGGCTAAACTGGTTTTAATGGACTGTAACAACATCACTTTGAATATTCAGCCGCAGAGTCTATCAAAATAAATATTTATCTAGTCATCAGCAATGGCTTTACAATCCATTGCAAACTTCTAAAGGCTACAGTTAAATCTATTAAAAAGGTCAGGCAAAGAAAATTCTTTAAAATTTAAATGCAAGAATATAAAATAGTTGTAAGTAAGAGTTAAAGAATTAAGAATAAAGAGCACGTTAGACAAGGAGATAGAATAAAATTTTAGATATCAGAGTATATAAAAAACCCTTCAAAATATGATAGGATGTTCCTGGCAATGGATGCCAGGAAGCCTCATGAGCAGTATCCCAATTAAACTAAAAGAACATACCAGTACCACAGATTAAATAGCAATGACTGTAGACAGCTATGATGCCTGAACCAAACCCATAAACACTACCTAAAGTCTTTACAGCTTCCACCTGAAATTCATTTGTCTGTAAAATGCTGTAAAAGGACAAACCTCTTTCCACTGAGGTATAAGCAGCACTATGATGATGATGGTTTTCTCAAATGTCATAATCATTATGTACAGAGCACACTGGCCCACCCAAGCACTGCACTGCAGGGGGTCACCTGCAAGGAAGAAAAAAGGTTCAATACATGCATAGATTTGATTTTACTTCACAGTAAATATCTCAGAAAAGCAGTGTTGGAAGAGGCAGCAGGGCAGCTAAATCCTCTTAAGGTGTCTTCTCCCAATTCCTTTAGTGCTGCTCCTTCCCCTCCCTCAGCCTCACCCCACCTTTCAAAAAGAAACTGGATCTCACAGGACTTGATCCAATTCAGCAGTACCTGTACTATGAGCACTGTTTCATATAATCTGATGAAAGCAAGACAAATAAAGTTGCATTACATTTGTTTCCCAGCCCATTGTTAATTTTGACCCTCTATCATGAAGCATGAAGTGTCTTGAAAAGGAAAACTTAAGGGAAACACAGCTGGGGGAAAACACACTTCTCTTCAGTCTAAGTAGAACCATGATTTTGCCACTCTCCCTGGGCTACCTTAAACATATTTTTCCTCTCTACAAAGTTAGTGACCATAAGTAACTGATCACAACTGAAGCAACATATGCAAGAGCTCCTATGAAAAATTTAATTGAACAAAAAAATTAAGATCACATTTTAATTTCAATGTCAAAGGGCTTGAAATTCTGCTGCACCTCACTGTGGCAGAGTAAGAACCCGAGTGCATGAAGTTATCTGCCAGAACAGGATGAAGACCACAAATATTTGACCAGGAAAACTTGTGCAGGTTCTTAGACTCTATGAAAGAGAGCAGGAAAAAAAAAGAAGAAAAAAGAGGACTGTTAGGCCTAACAAGTTTTGCAGGTGAGTTCAAAGCAGCACTTCACTGGAAAACAAAAGGAAGGTCTGGAGGGGTATGACAGCACTTTAGTCTTTGCTGCAGCTTCTGTAACATCTTTAAAGACAGCTCAAAACTTTTAGCCTGGGGATGAATAATGGGCAATGGAAAATCAGATGCCTTTATGTGTTTGTAATGCATAATGGACAGTTGCTACTTCCTTTTCTGGAACATTTCTGAAAGGCTTTCAGGATTAATAGTTGGTAATAGGCTGAGACTGTTTGCAGCTTAAATGCCACACAGAGAAACTGGTCAATCAGACTGGAGTCCAAAACAAAGCAAACTTCCTAACCACGTTTTACAGTGTGAGCTAATGATCAACACTCAACAAAATGCTCAAGTTTCACAACTACATACTGCAGTTTATGACAGTCTCTCAGTAGTATCCTTGCAGAAAAGCTGGGAAGGATGGACTGGATGGGTGGAGACACAATTCTGATATAAAGGAAAAAAGCTTCCACAGTGAGAGTGGTTAAGCACTGGAGTAGATTGTTCAAAGGGGTTCTTAAATCTCAAATCATGGACAAATTAACAGCTGGATGGACCATGCCCTGAACAACACACTTCAGCTTTGAAGTTAATCCTGCTTTGAGCAAGAGGTTGGATCTTATGACCTCTGGAGATCCCTTCCAACCAATTTTTTTCTCTGATTTCATAAGCCATGCAATTCAAGTTAATAACATCACCACATCCAGAAGGTGCTCCCAAGAATATTTAGGACATTTGTACATTCAGAGGCTCAGTATACAAACTCAAATTAGAACTTCAATGTTAATGTTGAAGTCAAAGCTCTAATTCCATTTCTAAAGTCTCTCACACCTTCTCTTGAATTCTGATTTTATACCTCTCGTGTACAAGTTGCATTTATAGAATAACCCAGAAAAGCAAATAAAGAATGAAACTGAAACATTTTGAACCCTCTGCAGTGACAACTGTAGCAGCATCTTAGGAAAATGCTGGGCAATGCAAAAGTAGTCTATACCAGTGTCTGCTACTGCCATCAGTTGCTTTGCAGAAGCACGTTTTCAGACAGCTCTTGAACAAAATACCTGTTATTCCTCTATCCTGTATCTTCTCTCTGTTCTTCAAATCCTGAAAAATTCTCTCAAGAAAACTCCAACTCACAGAACAACTCCAAAACAAATTTTCAATAGTTTTAAAGTCAGTACTCTCTACCCCACATGGCTGCAAGTAACTTGCTCTGCCAGTGGCAAACAAAGAGCTGGAGGGAAAAGATGCACCAGATACAGTTTCTCAGCTTTGCCACATGAGAAGCAAAGACAAGCAAAGAGACCACAGCACGATTCAGTTGCCAGCAGAGTTTACAGTCACCAAGAGGGATTTATCACCTGTTTGCCACTCACACAGCTACAGCAGCCCAAGACAAGAAGGGAAGGAGAACACAGGGAACATTCTTTTCAGCACAGCTCATGACTGCTTTTCTCCTCTTTACATACTCAAATATATTAACTGATTCTGCACCTCTACTAAAATCCAACTGCTGACGTGATGAATCTGAAAATACAAAACTGGAAATATGAAGACAAATCTAATAAAATTTAAAATTCTGACATTAAAAAAGCCCCTGAGGGATCATCATGCTACTTTGTTCATAAATCAGCATGTGGTGCTGTTTTGCTGTACAAACAGCAACCCTTTATAAATGCTGATATTTTGGTATCCATTCCTTCCTTGAGGCATTTATGCTTAAAAACTATCCTCCATATAAAGAAGAAGCTTTTAAAACCAGCAGGACACTGCTATTTTTGTGACAGCTTCAAGTAATGAATCACCAGGGATCAAGTAATAGAGCTAAGAAGGGAAATGAGCTCACAGTGAGAACTAACTTGAGACAAATGATTATTTAGGCTCTAGAAACACAAACAACATCACTCAATCACAAGAAGAGACTTGTCTGGGGATGGGGGGGAAGGCTCTTGTTTGTTTTCCTACACTTGATAACAAACTGAAATCACAGTGGTCTCCAAGCTGAGAACTTGGCTTTACTACTCCAAATAAAATGCCCCAAGATTTGATACCTTTCAATGAGCAGACCCCTGGCCACCCATGGGGTGGAGAAGAGAGGAGAAGCCTGGAGAAGAGAAGGCTCTGACCTTATTGTGGCCTTCCAGTACCTGAAGGGGCTCCAACAGAGCTGGGAGAGGGTCTTTTGACAAGGGCATGGAGTGACAGGACAAGGGGGAATGGCTTCACCCTGACAGAGGGCAGCGTTGATCTTTGTAAGACACAAGGTGCATGCTGAGATATAGAACTTAAAAGAACCTTCATTACAAGTAAAATACTAAAATGATTGTGAAATGATCTTAAGATGAGTTAAGCACTGGCTGAAATGCTCTGAGATTCTCTCCTGGAAATCATTTCAGCCCAAAAGAGGGCCCATTTACCATATTCCCCGAAGCGAAGGGACTCCCACTGCTGCCACTCCACGAGGCTGCTGACGGCTCGGATCCCGATGTAGATCAGCAGCATTCCTAAGGTGGCATCCAGCAAGAAGTTGATAAGGTACCTGAGAGGAAAAATGTAAAAGAAAACAAGGAGCAAAGGTCCATTTTCTACAGGTTCAGGGTATTTTAACACCACAATCAATAAAAGATCTGCTGCACACATGTTGAGAAGCCAGAGTATGGAGAACAATCATCTACCCACTTCTGTAATTACACAGGCTAAAATTTATATAGTTTTAGCAGTCTCAATATTTTGTTTCTGTCCTTAAATTCCAAATTCATGAACTCTGCTGTGTGCATACTCTACATAAACTCCAACATTAAATTATTCCTTTAAATTAAAACCAGATTTCCTTTTTACCATTACAGTTTAATTTTGCATGGAAACTTGACTAAAACCAAAGGAATAAGACCAGAAGTTACCTTAAAGACATCTCAATGAATTTGAAGGTAAAAAGTCCAACCTAGAAGTTTTATGCCAAGGGGGAAAGTCAACACAACTAGAGCTTTTCTTGCTCAAGGGAGCCTGTTCCCTGCCCCAGCAACGAGCAGTGAATACCATACCCAGAGAGTACTGTCACTATTGAGGCCAAATTTCAACTTATTTTGTGTTAGGAATTGATTTACTTTCTTGCACTTCAGTTCTTATCCAATGAACATTTAAGTATCAGACATAAGCCTTCCCAGGAAAAAAATCCATAACCAAACCAAACCAAACCAGCCCTCAAGGGACAAACTGCTGCAATACTAATTTTATTGTTTCAAAAGCAGCTTCTGGGATCTTACCTATGCTTCAAAAAAACAGATTTCAAATTAATTCTTAGGGTCATTCGAAGATGCAGCTGAAATTCAGAGCATTTTCTAAGTCAGTTTGGTTTATTTAATATCACCAATTTTAGCTGAACAAAACTGCATTTGAGAAAGAGCCAGCTGTAAGAGATATAGTAAATCCCTGTTATTGAGGTTCTTATTTGGTAATTCCAAATACTTAAGGTAAACCCTAGAGTCTATAGGAACTTATCTGCAGGGATAAAAACAGCAATCAGGGACCTGTGGGCTTCTGCAGCTGCAGAGACAAATCCACATGGGCCAAACAGCATCAAAAGTGTAAAGCAAAACAGAATGTGTGCATTCAAAATAGTAAAAGAGGAGCTCCTCTGACCCTCAAAATCCCATTCAAGAGCAGGTGAAAATGAAAAATGAAGTGGATGTTCCATAAGATTTCTAAAAATAGTTATTTTCTAATAACTGTCTGGCAAATCTCAGCTTTAATTAACTTCATATTAGACAAACATGAAGACCCAGAAGGAGGCAAACTCCGCACTGACAAGCCTGCACAAGTCACGCTGAGGCCACAAGAGGCTGCTGTAAGCCCGCAGCAGGAAGGCAGCACCGGGAGCAGGGAGACACCTTCACATCCAGTCACGGCTCACGGCACGGCCCAAGGATGCCCCATATTCCAAGCACATCGGGCTCCCTCCATGCTCCTTGTGGGATGAGTGTCCTTAACCTGCTCCCAGGTCCGTGCCCCTGGCTGGGAGCTCGGGGACTCAGAGGCCAGAGTTCATTCCGACTTCCCCCTCCCAGCCGGGTACCCTGCGCTGCTCCTTCCATCCAAAATTCCAACAACCACCCGCCCAGCAAGGTGTTTTTAAGAGCTGTTTTGTCAGCTTTGATATGATGACACGCAGCACTACATCCCCCAACTAACAAATGGCAACTTCCAGTTGTGGTTCTCTCCAAGCTCTGAACTACAGTGTTTTCTAAAACTACATTTTCTGGTTTTGTTCTGAAAAGAACCCAAAAGCTACAAAGCAGGAAGGAACAGAAAACTACCCAAGCTTGAATTTGCTGAGTAAAATTATTATTATTGCAAGTCACAGACAGAAATGTTGCTTTTAGTCGCTAGTTTTGACCCACTTTCAAATTTTATATATATTTTTCCTAAGACAGGAAAGCAGCTTTGGGTAGTATTACATGGTATTTTTTCTGCTAAAAAGAACCTACACCCTTGTCTGAGAAATTATACAGCTGCACATTGTAATTTCTGTTATCCTGAGAACAGTGGATAACCTCACTCTCTTGTTTTGTGTCATGTTACACTTACATTAAAGTGGCATTTGAAAATAAAATTATGCAGACTGCAGGAGAGAATGCACTTGTCAGTAAACCCTTTATTTTGAAGACACAGTACACAGCACAAAGGTATTTTTAAAATACTGTAATAAACTCTTGTGCTTTACCTTTAAGCACTGATAATTTTTGACATGCTTCGGGGAGCTCACTTGAATGTATACTTTGAGTTATAAAAGGGGAACGAAAGCAATTTTCACCTGCCAGTTTTTAAATCTGTCAGGAAATTCTTAAATCTGTAAGCAAGGAAAATCCCTACAATGATGCCTGGTATTACTGAAACTGTCATCGTTATAACTCAAACTTTACAGTTAATGTGTTAAAATAAATGCAATTTCCCTACCAAAACGCTCTGTGCTGGGAAGAGGGAAAGTTGTGTTTTCCTTGTGCATTTATAGCCTGTAGGAACACAAAAGAAACCAAGGGGGAATAAAGGAAATAAAACAGGCTTGTGCAGCAACACAAGCATATTCCTTGAGCTGTGTGTCTCCTTTGTTTAGCAAAGGACAACAAGTGAGCAGTTGCCACTGAAGGGACTGGATTGGTCCTAAAAGGCAAATTACTGGGTTTTTTAAAAGTAATTTCACAGCTTCCATTACCAGGACTGTGTAGCTACTTCGAGCCTGAGTCTTATCAAGAACAAACCCAAACAATTACCATTTGCTTCAGGAGCTCCTGTAAAGAGCCTGATGGGGTCTTAGTCATCAAATCTTCAGGTTTAACACACTACAGTGCAATGTTCATCTGTTTAGTCACAGCGCTCCAAGCGTGACATTGCAAAATTAATTTCTGCTGTGAGTGCCTGACTGCTGAGCAGGATTTCCCAGTCTTAACAAAACGAAAACAATGCTGCAGCAGCAAATGCAAAGCTTAGAAGAAAGTAGAAGCACAAATGATTTTTGCTAAAGAACACTGAAAGCAACCTGCCTTTGTGTGTGAGCTTGGCTTTAACACAGTGAGCAGAGCACTCGGAGGTCAGTGGGCACAACTGGATACTCATTTCCTCTGGTCCCAGAACCTCCTTCAGTAAACAGACTCGTACTACAATGTGCATCCCAAATCCTCACTCACTGACTGCAGAGGGAGAAGCAGTAAGACTTTGCCCTTGGTCTAAAATATCTATATACAGCCCAGAATCCTGCCAGCCATGAATTTAAAGAGCAGAACTCCGATCCTTGATTATTAACTAAGCTTAAACCACATGCTTTTGAAAGTGATTGATTTTTAGAATGAAAACTGGTTTTTCAGTTCTACCTTACCCTACCATCCACATGCACCATCAAACTCAGCTACAGAACTTCCACAAAGACCAATCATTCTAAAATGAAACACTCACAGTGAACAGGGGTCTTCTTCTGTAAGGTCTGATAAATAGACATTTGCAAAGTGGATGAACAACATCCCTATGGCTTGCTTGGAAGTATCTAAAAACCTGTGGAGAGTAAAAACAGCTTTTAAGACATACAAAACTGTTTACATGATAAAGGTGTCGGGTATTTAGCTTATTTAACAACATTCCATTTCAAATTCTGCCCCTGTTTTTTCTTGAATACTGCTAACAATAACCCAAATCATATTAACTTGAAACCTACCCCTGTAAATTTAAAGTCTGTGGATATCCTCTTGGTATCACATGCATTATCCATGAGTTAATCCTCAATAAATCTAGCTAAGTCTTTAATAACCCCTGGGAAACAATGAGTATCCTGGCCTCTCTAGGTATTTTGGGCCTTTCATGTTTATACATTTTTAGCAAGTTTATGCCACAGACAAAAATAAAATCCTCATCACAGGCTTGTGGGTGAACAATTTAATAGTTGGCTAATGAGTTCTTTATCTATAGTATTTTATTTAAAAGCCAACGTATTTTTTATCTGAAAGCATGAAGTGGTTTCACCGAATTTTATCTGTAGTACAACAGCTTAAAACACACTGCAGAATTCCAACCCTGACAGCATTATCTTCAAAGCAGATGACAAAGCCAGAGAGAAAGTCGTTTGCCACTTAAAGGGAAATATAAATACCCCATTTAGATACTGATTCAGTATTGACTCTGACCCTTACCATTCTTTTACCATCACCCTTTGCACAAAACCAAAACTTTCAGTGGGCATTTTATTAGATGTTAAATATAGGAATCATAACAAAAGTATTCTGCAGGCAAGAGTGTGTTCTTTATACAGAGCAACACCCATTTTGCCTGTTGTTCCCACGTCTAAAAAGATCCAAACACCCCAACAGACCCAAATGACATTTCATGCCTGAATTCATCTACTCTCCCTGATAACTTTGTCTTAAAGCTCCTTCTCTTCATTCACTGCACGACACAGAAAGCAGAGTGTTGGAGATGAGGCAGGAAGCCAGGGAGTTACTTATCTAATCAGTGTGCCAAGCTAAAAATAACAATACTTGAGTTCCAGAACAAGATTCTTTGCTTACAAATTAAGGGCTATCACTGCACTTGTCAGAATTTCAGGCTGAGGTAGACTGTAGCACACAAAGATTTTGCATTTATTTTTTCAATAAAATAAAGGTCAGGATAAGTTTGAAAAGCAGCACCCTATGAGGTGAATTTAAACCACTGAAACCTTCAACAAGCAGAATAACAACCTAACATTTACACCAGTCTAAAAACTGGTACAGCTGATGTTGCATTGCTTCAACCCAGGAACTTTTAAAATGTAATAAACACCAATACACTTTTTATACCTTGCATTCTTTTATGGCTGATGTATTTCTATCTTTTATCATACTGTTTTCTATTTGATACACAGTAAGATAGCTACAGAACATGGAGTTCTGTTTAAGCCCAGCTGAGAGCTTCCTGTAAGCTTATTTAAGTTTGTGGATGTTCAGACAAACCTTAGGGCAACTCTAAGTTTCCATGTTCAGGAGGAACCACAACCTGAAGCTTTATGTCTAAATGAACATCTCTGTAGAGATTCCTGGAAGGGTTTAGCAAGAAAGGACTCACCAGAAAAGACACAGAAGGTAACTTTTCACTGACTCATGTATTCTGGTAACTTTTCTGGTTCCTCACTGTCAGTTACCAATTTCTTGCCATCGCTTTTCTCTGTTTTAATCATCACATGCAAACAATCGTCCCTTCAATTTCTAAAACATGCAAGAGACGAACAAAAATTCAGAATAAAGCCTGCAGAAACCCACCATATCCTCCAGGGACGTCTTTCGTGCTTTGGTTCTCTGAAGCGCTTTACTAAGAAGAAAAAAAATAAAACAAAAATTAATTGAAGACAATCAGCAACTCCCAAAGCCAAAAAAAAAAATAAATATAGAAAAAGGAAAGCAAATCATCTTGCAGAAATGTTACATTCTTTGATAACTTGGATCTTTCACTACCACACTTTATCAATCTCCAAGGATCCATGTTTAAAGAAACTGGTTCCCTTCCATCACCTTCGAGTTTCTGCAGCTCCCTCCTCTGAGTGCCAGTAGACCTCACATGGGACAATAATCCACGTCCCACCACCATTCCATCAGTCTGAGCTTTTACAATGGTCCATCCAGGAAGTTTAATTTCTGACAGGAAAGCAGGGATTAGAAAAAGCTGTTTCTTTTGCTCACTGGAGTCCAAAAGTCAAATTGGAAAGTATTCTTGCAGTATGGGGCAATATTATCAGATAAATTAAGTCAATTAATAGGAAGACAAATATATTCTCTGACAAAGTATCTTTGTGTATGACAAGACTTTTGTGGGCAAACTGAATTGCAAAAGGAAAGCAGGACAGATGTTTTTTAGTCAGATAATCCCTTCAAAAAAAAGGGTGATAATTGTTACATATTAAAAACTCCAAAAAAATCGTAGTAAAATTAATGCCGATTATAACAAAGGCAAAAAACCCCCTGTAAGTTTGTTTATTTTGATTTTCATACAGTTTATAATACAAATTGTTTGGGTGTCTGATAGAAAGCTCTTCTCACACCCTGCCCAGGTCCATGGGGAAGGACCTAGATGACTCATGAAGGAACAAGTGTAGGAAAATAGAGAGGCAAGGGGATAAAAATAGTTGCTCAGTTGTAAACAGTGGTTTGTCCATACATTTGTACTGTCTGATCTGCAGCTGTCCTATCTTCTTAGGAAATCCCATTTCTAACTCCTGGGCAAGAAAACCTTTTTCCCTACTGGGAACACACACTCAGCCCTGCCATGGGTTGGACCACAAACTTATTTTCTGTTACTGCTGCAAGACACTAATTCCTTACTCATCCCAAAGACAGACCAAAGACAACAGGGAAGAGGAAACCTTTCCACTAAGGATGGGTTTTATATATGGGTTTTCCTTCCTTCTGGCCAAGGTTCACTGTCACTCACCAGCTCCTTCAATGTAAGTCTCGAAAAATAACTATTTAGGCTCTTATTGCAGAAATTCTCTCTTATAAAAAAATTAAGCCCCAGTTCCCCTCCAACCTTTGAAATCGCAGAGATTTGGACTTCAAAAAGCACAAACCACAGCAGGTGCAGTCAGGCAAAAACATCAACAGGTATCTATCTTAACCTGTTTCTCCAGGTACTAGGGATGAATTCCAGTCTGACACAGGATGCTGTGTGTAAGTCATGCTTGCCCAGCTTACAAGCTTTTAAACCACATTCTGGTTTCTGAACCAATCACAATTTTTTTACAAGTAAGGCAATTTCCTGAGAGGCAACTGTCCTCATACTATACAGCATTAACATAGTGACCTAAATGCCTTTAAATAAATAAAAAGCTGAATGAATCACTTCCAAGCTGGAGGGGCAGCACTTGCAGGGAGCGCCAAGCTCCCAACCTGCCATCTCACTGTCTGTCACTGCTTCTGGCAGCAGGGAAAAACATGGGAAATTAAAAAGTGACAAGAGGAAAAGACTGTACATTTACACCAAAGATAAAGTTGTAATAGCAACATTTGCCAGCAGTTTTCTCCGTGAACAGCATGACAGAAATACAAAACTTCTGTTAAAAATGAGCAACACCCAGCCAAGTTAACCAGTTTGTTATTTATGACAAGTCCTCCCTAGTCACACTATGGATTACTTTAATTAGTGGCTCTTTTGTATAACAACAGGAAGCCAAAAAGCATCACAAAACAAATGCAAGGAACAGAAGTTTCAGTTTACTGTGGAGTTAGTGCAAGATGCTTTTCTGCACACAAAATGGAATTAAACTGGTAAGATGGGCATATTTTGGGGAGGGGTGAATTCCAAACTTAGTTTTTTGGCTTTTATTGCAGTGAAGTTCTATAAACCTGTGGATTCATTAATTTCCTTAAAGAATTCACAAAAATTCATTTTGGAAGAAGATATTCAAACCCAACTCAACTAATACCATTTCAAATGTCATCCCTACTGAGAAACAGACTCGAGGTCTGTGTTTCTCTGGCCAGCTCTGAAAACACATTTCATTTGAGTTAACAATAAACAGGAGAGTTAACTTTGAAAGCCTCTCAGTTGTCTTTTGGGAATGTACTGATCACACCACCAACTTCTATCTCCCCAAATTAAATGAGACAATCTGTGCAAATGCTTTAGGAGGTGCTATGTGCTGAATATGTACCTTTTCACTTGAAAGCCCAGTAGATCTTTTTTTTTTTAAAGTTGTGATTGGTTCAGAAACCAGAATGTGGTTTAAAAGCTTGTAAGCTGGGCAAGCATGACTTACACCTGGCATCCTGTGTCAGACTGGAATTCATCCCTAGTACCTGGAGAAACAGGTTAAGATACCTGTTGATGTTTTTGCCTGACTGCACCTGCTGTGGTTTGTGCTTTTTGAAGTCCAAATCTCTGCAATTTCAAAGGTTGGAGGGGAATTGGGGCTTAATTTTTTTATAAGAGAGAATTTCTGCAATAAGAGCCTAAATAGTTATTTTTCGAGACTTACATTGAAGGAGCTGGTGAGTGACAGTGAACCTTGGCCAGAAGGAAGGAAAACTCATGTATAAAACCCATCCTTAGTGGAAAGGTTTCCTCTTCCCTGTTATCTTTGGTCTGTCTTTGGGATGAGTAAGGAATTAGTATCTTGCAGCAGTAACAGAAAGCCCATACATGAAAGTGCTGTTTTCTCAGCCCAGCCCCTTGCAGTGTGTCTGTGAGCACCAGGTATTTCTGGCATACACAGATACTACCAGGTACTTCCCAACAAACCCCTTATGCAGAATCTGGGCCTTCCCAGTAAGTAAACTGAGCAAAAACCCAGGAGGCTGTAGGTGACCACACTGGATAGCTCGGGGTCCTTGGCACATTTGCTATTAATACACTAATTTTAGAACAAAAAGCCAGCGTGTTTTTCCAACAAAGATTCTGTACATTTTTTAAGCATCTATCCAAACTGGGCAGGGGAAAGCAATTCTTCCAGTGGCCCTCCCCCAGAACATGTGAGGACTGTAGCTGCTCTCAGCCCCAGTCCCAATTTCTCCTGGCAGTTCCTCTGCCCCCCCACAAGCTCGTGTGTGTCAGTTGACAGATGGATCCCAATCTGGCGGCTCCTCGGCCTCCATATGCTCCGGCTTCCAGCGCTGCACTCGCACCAGCAAGAATCCACCAGATTTAATATTAATTAACTAATAATGTTCAGAATTTCATGCTGAATTATAAATGAAGAGCGAAGTGCTGCTTGTTTATACACTGGGTGCCAGAATTTTTCAGGAAAGGAAATAAAAGCACTTCTGCCAACAAGCATGTGAGCTGCCAGATGGACAGATAATAGATAAGCATATAAGGCACAGTATCGCTAATGCAAAATTCAAGTTCATTGAATTGTCTTCCCACTTCATTGAAATTCTAGGAATAATTAATGCCAGAGTGCTGTGGAAGGGTTTCTAACACTTTCTTTAACATAGGAGGTTTGCAATCAGAAGTTCAGAAGACTCATGGGGAAGAATTAAGGCCAAGACGGACAAGAAATAAAGTAAATCATCTCCCAATTGTCACTATGAAAAGCAACACTTGAATCTGTATTAGAAATCCAGCCTTTCTTTCTCTCCCTCCTTCACCTCCTCAAGAAGTCATACAGCAAATATTCTGATGTAGAGTAACTTTAATATGGATTTAAGAACTCCAAGTTTCTGGATGGCTGCTCTTGTAGCAGCACAAAACTGGTGCACCTCTCAGGTTTGAAATGTTTCTATACCTCATGTATTACTGCACTTCTTAGGTGTTGGTTGGTTCTGGTAGTTCACAATAAGAATCTTTCCGACCGCAATAAATATCTAAGAAGATACCTCTGAGCTCATTAATTTGAAATTCATAAAAGTAAAATAAGCTAAGGAATATTCAACATATTCGATGTCCTCTTCTGAGAAGAGAGTTGGGAATTTCACCCGTATTTTCAGTGCTTCTCAAAACTTTTTCAAAAGTCACAGACAAAGCACGTGATCAAATGTTTCACTTCATAAACCTCCTACACACTTCTGTCATCAGAGCTCAGCAGAGCCACAGCTGAGCTGGCCAAAAGGAAAAGGAGGAAAGGCTGGTGAGGGTCACATTTGCACATCACACACTCACAGTTCAGCTGCAGCAGGGACAGAATCAGACCCTTCTCACAGGTGCCCAGGCAATGGGCACCAGTAAAGTTGCAGCCAGGGAAATTCCAGCATGAAAGAAGTAAAAAATTTCCAATGAGAGAAATTAAGCTCTGCAACAAGTTGCCCACAGAGGGTGCAGTGACTGCAGTGTCACAGCCTCTGAAAATTCCCTGGACGATGCTCCAAGCAAGGGGATGTCAGAGCAGGCATGGCCCTTCCAACAGAAATTGGTCTGTAAGTCTAAAACCCATTTTTCTGTGCTATGACATTTAAAAGTTCCAAGATTTGAGCCAATTACCAAAGGACCAAAGCATGGCTAATTGAAAATCATGCACACATATGTGGATGCACAGAATTTAACAGTGAGACCCCCACTGCAGTTTGAGCCTCCCGAATAATGTGTTTGCAACCAGACAGCTCCCCCAACACAGCCCTCTTAGTGCAAGACTTGGGACCTGCAGGGTTACTTTGACACTAATTCATGTGATTCCCAACATTCAAGACAAGTTTCCCATAGAAAGCTGTGTGTGGACTAACAGCTGAAGTTACACCAAGCATTAATTAGCACCCAAACTCGGAATCAGATACAGGATTTCACACGGCTACTCCCAGACAACTGAGCTATTTTCAGAACATTTGGCTATCAGAACATATGCATCACAAATTTCAACCTGCAATTTCCAACCCTGTAAAAAAACT